GAGGGAAAGAGAAAGAGTTAATGAGAAGGCAAAAAGAGCGAGGGAAAAAGAAAGAGTTAATGAGAAGGCAAAAAGAGCGAGGGAAAGAGAAAGAGTTAATGAGAAGGCAAAAAGAGTGAGGGAAAGAGAAAGAGTTAATGAGAAGGCAAAAAGAGAAAGGGAAAGAGAAAGAGTTAATGAGAAGGCAAAAGAGCGAGGGAAAGAGAAAGAGTTAATGAGAAGGCAAAAGAGCGAGGGAAAGAGAAAGAGTTAATGAGAAGGCAAAAGAGCGAGGAAAGAGAAAGAGTTAATGAGAAGGCAAAAGAGGAGGAAAAGAGAAAGAGTTAATGAGAAGGCAAAAAGAGCTAGGGAAAGAGAAAGACTTAATGAGAAGGCAAAAGAGCTAGGGAAAGAGAAAGAGTTAATGAGAAGGCAAAAAGCGAGGGAAAAAAAGAAAAAGTTAATGAGAAGGCAAAAAGTGCGAGGGAAAGAGAAAGAGTTAATGAGAAGGCAAAAAGAGTGAGGGAAAAAGAAAGAGTTAATGAGAAGGCAAAAAGAGAAAGGGAAAGAGAAAGAGTTAATGAGAAGGCAAAAAGAGCGAGGGAAAGAGAAAGAGTTAATGAGAAGGCAAAAAGAGTGAGGGAAAGAGAAAGAGTTAATGAGAAGGCAAAAAAGAGCGAGGGAAAGAGAAAGAGTTAATGAGAAGGCAAAAGAGTGAGGGAAAAGAGAAAGAGTTAATGAGAAGGCAAAAAGAGCTAGGGAAAGAGAAAGAGTTAATGAGAAGGCAAAAAGAGCTAGGGAAAGAGAAAGAGTTAATGAGAAGGCAAAAAAGAGCGAGGGAAAAGAGAAAGAGTTAATGAGAAGGCAAAAAAGCTAGGGAAAGAGAAAGAGTTAATGAGAAAGCAAAAAGAGCGAGGGTAAGAGAAAGAGTTAATGAGAAGGCAAAAAGAGTGAGGGGGTTAAAGAGAAAGGGTTAATGAGAAGGCAAAAAGAGCGAGGGAAAGAGAAAGGGTTAATGAGAAGGCAAAAAGAGCGAGGGAAAGAGAAAGAGTTAATGAGAAGGCAAAAAAAGCGAGGGAAAAGAGAAAGAGTTAATGAGAAGGCAAAAGAGGAGGGAAAGAGAAAGAGTTAATGAGAAGGCAAAAAGAGCGAGGGAAAGAGAAAGAGTTAATGAGAAGGCAAAAAGAGCGAGGAAAAAGAGAAAGAGTTAATGAGAAGGCAAAAAGAGCGAGGGAAAAAGAAAGAGTTAATGAGAAGGCAAAAAAGAGCGAGGGAAAGAGAAAGAGTTAATGAGAAGGCAAAAAGAGTGAGGGAAAAGAGAAAGAGTTAATGAGAAGGCAAAAAACAGCGAGGGGAAAGAGAAAGAGTTAATGAGAAGACAAAAAAGAGCGAGGGAAAGACAAAGAGTTAATGAGAAGGCAAAAGAGCGAGGGAAAGAGAAAGAGTTAATGAGAAGGGCAAAAAAGCGAGGGAAAGAGAAAGAGTTAATGAGAAGGCAAAAAGAGCGAGGGAAAGAGAAAGAGTTAATGAGAAGGCAAAAAGAGCTAGGGAAAGAGAAAGAGTTAATGAGAAGGCAAAAAGAGCTATGGAAAGAGAAAGAGTTAATGAGAAGGCAAAAAGAGCGAGGGAAAGAGAAAGAGTTAATGAGAAGGCAAAAAGAGCTAGGGAAAGAGAAAGAGTTAATGAGAAGGCAAAAAGAGCTATGGAAAGAGAAAGAGTTAATGAGAAGGCAAAAAGAGCGAGGGAAAGAGAAAGAGATAATGAGAAGGCAAAAAGAGCTAGGGAAAGAGAAAAGAGTTAATGAGAAGGCAAAAAAAGCGAGGGAAAGAGAAAGAGTTAATGAGAAGGCAAAAAGAGCGAGGGAAAGAGAAAGGGTTAATGAGAAGGCAAAAAGAGTGAGGGAAAAGAGAAAGAGTTAATGAGAAGGCAAAAAAAAGAGGGAAAGAGAAAGGGTTAATGAGAAGGCAAAAAGAGGAGGGAAAGAAAAGAGTTAATGAGAAGGCAAAAAAAGAGCTAGGGAAAGAGAAAGAGTTAATGAGAAGGCAAAAGAGTGAGGGAAAGAGAAAGAGTTAATGAGAAGGCAAAAAGAGCGAGGGAAAGAGAAAGGGTTAATGAGAAGGCAAAAAGAGCGAGGGAAAGAAAAGGGTTAATGAGAAGGCAAAAAACTGAGGGAAAGAGAAAGAGTTAATGAGAAGGCAAAAAGAGCTAGGGAAAGAGAAAGAGTTAATGAGAAGGCAAAAAGAGTGAGGGAAAGAGAAAAGAGTTAATGAGAAGGCAAAAAAGAGGAGGGAAAGAGAAAGGTTAATGAGAAGGCAAAAAGAGCGAGGGAAAGAGAAAGGGTTAATGAGAAGGCAAAAAGAGCGAGGGAAAGAGAAAGAGTTAATGAGAAGGCAAAAAGAGCGAGGGAAAGAGAAAGAGTTAATGAGAAGGCAAAAAGAGTGAGGGAAAGAGAAAGAGTTAATGAGAAGGCAAAAAGAGCGAGGGAAAGAGAAAGAGTTAATGAGAAGGCAAAAAGAGCGAGGGAAAGAGAAAGAGTTAATGAGAAGGCAAAATGAGCGATGGAAAGAGAAAGAGTTAATGAGAAGGCAAAAAAAGAGCGAGGGGAAAGAGAAAGAGTTAATGAGAAGGCAAAAAAAAGCGAGGGAAAAAGAAAGAGTTAATGAGAAGGCAAAAAAAGCGAGGGAAAGAGAAAGAGTTAATGAGAAGGCAAAAAGAGGAGGGAAGAGAAAGAGTTAATAAGAAGGCAAAAACAGCGAGGGAAAGAGAAAGAGTTAATGAGAAGGCAAAAAGAGCGAAGGAAAGACAAAGAGTTAATGAGAAGGCAAAAAGAGCGAGGGAAAGAGAAAGAGTTAATGACAAGGCAAAAAGAGCGAGGGAAAGAGAAAGAGTTAATGAGAAGGCAAAAGAGCGAGGGAAAGAAAAGAGTTAATGAGAAGGCAAAAAGAGTGAGGGAAAGAGAAAGAGTTAATGAGAAGGCAAAAAGAGCGAGGGAAAGAGAAAGAGTTAATGAGAAGGCAAAAAGAGCGAGGGAAAGAGAAAGGGTTAATGAGAAGGCAAAAGAGTGAGGGAAAAAAGAAAAGAGTTAATGAGAAGGCAAAAAGAGCGAGGGAAAGAAAAAGGTTAATGAGAAGTCAAAAAGAGTGAGGGAAAGAGAAAGAGTTAATGAGAAGGCAAAAAGAGCGAGGGAAAGAGAAAGAGTTAATGAGAAGGCAAAAAGAGGAGGGAAAGAGAAAGAGTTAATGAGAAGGCAAAAAGAGCGAGGGAAAGAGAAAGAGTTAATGAGAAGGCAAAAGAGCGAGGGAAAGAGAAAGAGTTAATGAGAAGGCAAAAAGAGCGAGGGAAAGAAAAGAGTTAATGAGAAGGCAAAAAAGTGAGGGAAAGAGAAAGGGTTAATGAGAAGGCAAAAGAGCGAGGGAAAGAGAAAGAGTTAATGAGAAGGCAAAAAGAGCGAGGGTAAGAGAAAGGAGTTAATGAGAAGGCAAAAGAGTGAGGGAAAGAGAAAGGGTTAATGAGAAGGCAAAAGAGCGAGGGAAAGAGAAAGAGTTAATGAGAAGGCAAAAGAGCGAGGGAAAGAGAAAGAGTTAATGAGAAGGCAAAAAGAGTGAGGGATAGAGAAAGAGTTAATGAGAAGGCAAAAAAGAGCGAGGGAAAGAAAGGGGTTAATGAGAAGGCAAAAAGAGTGAGGGAAAGAGAAAGAGTTAATGAGAAGGCAAAAAAAAGCGAGGGAAAGAGAAAGGGTTAATGAGATGGCAAAAAGAGTGAGGGAAAGAGAAAGAGTTAATGAGAAGGCAAAAAGAGCGAGGGAAAGAGAAAGGGTTAATGAGAAGGCAAAATGAGTGAGGGAAAGAGAAAGGGTTAATGAGAAGGCAAAAAGAGCGAGGGAAAGAGAAAGAGTTAATGAGAAGGCAAAAAGAGCGAGGGAAAGAGAAAGAGTTAATGAGAAGGCAAAAAGAGTGAGGGAAAGAGAAAGAGTTAATGAGAAGGCAAAAAGAGTGAGGGAAAGAGAAAGAGTTAATGAGAAGGCAAAAAGAGCGAGGGAAAGAGAAAGGGTTAATGAGAAGGCAAAAAGAGTGAGGGAAAGAGAAAGGGTTAATGAGAAGGCAAAAAGAGCGAGGGAAAGAGAAAGAGTTAATGAGAAGGCAAAAAGAGCGAGGGAAAGAGAAAGAGTTAATGAGAAGGCAAAAAGAGCGAGGGATAGAGAAAGAGTTAATGAGAAGGCAAAAAGAGCGAGGGAAAGAGAAAGGGTTAATGAGAAGGCAAAAAGAGTGAGGGAAAGAGAAAGAGTTAATGAGAAGGCAAAAAGAGCGAGGGAAAGAGAAAGGGTTAATGAGATGGCAAAAAGAGTGAGGGAAAGAGAAAGAGTTAATGAGAAGGCAAAAGAGCGAGGGAAAGAGAAAGGGTTAATGAGAAGGCAAAAAAGAGTGAGGGAAAAGAGAAAGGGTTAATGAGAAGGCAAAAGAGCGAGGGAAAGAGAAAGAGTTAATGAGAAGGCAAAAAGAGCGAGGGAAAGAGAAAGAGTTAATGAGAAGGCAAAAAGAGTGAGGGAAAGAGAAAGAGTTAATGAGAAGGCAAAAAGAGTGAGGGAAAGAAAAGAGTTAATGAGAAGGCAAAAAAGAGTGAGGGAAAGAGAAAGGGTTAATGAGAAGGCAAAAAGAGGAGGGAAAGACAAAGAGTTAATGAGAAGGCAAAAGAGCGAGGGAAAGAGAAAGAGTTAATGAGAAGGCAAAAAGAGCGAGGGAAAAAGAAAGAGTTAATGAGAAGGCAAAAGAGCGAGGGAAAGAGAAAGAGTTAATGAGAAGGCAAAAAGAGGAGGGAAAGAGAAAGAGTTAATGAGAAGGCAAAAACAGCGAGGGAAAAAGAGAAAGAGAATGACAAGGCAAAAAGAGCGAGGGGAAAGAGAAAGAGTTAATGAGAAGGCAAAAAGAGCGAGGGGAAGAGAAAGAGTTAATGAGAAGGCAAAAAAGAGCTAGGGAAAGAGAAAGAGTTAATGAGAAGGCAAAAGAGGAGGGAAAGAGAAAGAGTTAATGAGAAGGCAAAAAAGCGAGGGTAAGAGAAAGGGTTAATGAGAAGGCAAAAGAGCGAGGGAAAGAGAAAGGGTTAATGAGAAGGCAAAAAAGAGCGAGGGAAAGAGAAAGAGTTAATGAGAAGGCAAAAAGAGCGAGGGAAAGAGAAAGAGTTAATGAGAAGGCAAAAGAGTGAGGGAAAGAGAAAAAGTTAATGAGAAGGCAAAAAGAGTGAGGGAAAGAGAAAGAGTTAATGAGAAGGCAAAAAGAGCGAGGGAAAGAGAAAGAGTTAATGAGAAGGCAAAAAGAGGGAGGGAAAGAGAAAGAGTTAATGAGAAGGCAAAAAGAGTGAGGGAAAGAATAAGAGTCAATGTGAAGGCAAAAAAAGGGAGGGAAAGAGAAAGAGTTCATGAGAAAGCAAAAAGAGCGAGGGAAAGAGAAAGAGTTAATGAGAAGGCTAAAAGGGCGAGGGAAAGAGAAAGATTTAATGAGATGGCTAAAAGATCGAGGGAAAGAGAAAGAGTTAATGAGAAGGCAAAAAAGGGAGGGAAAGAGAAAGGGTTTATGAGAAGGCAAAAAGAGCAAGGGAAAGAGAAGGATTTAATGAGAAGGCAAAAGAGTGAAGGAAACAGAAAGAAGTATTGGGAAAGAAAACTGTGAAAGTGATAGAGAGCGACTTATTGAGAAGACAATTTTGCGAAAAAAAGAATGAGATATAAAAAGAAAATTTAGAAAATAATTGGATCAGAAGATAAGCATGGCCACTGGACGTCGTGTAGGCCGAACACAAGACTTGATCGAGAACGCAGGATGAAATAAAATAAAAGAAATTAACATATCATCATGAAACGTAGTTTCTATATTTACTTTCGCTTTTGAGGTTCAACTTTCATTTCCATGTCAGAAGTTCAATGCATAATGCCTTTGTTCTGAATTTCCCGCTTTGAATCGAAATCCCCATGAAAATATAACAAACGTAAGACTAAATTAATTGGCGTTCTGACAAAAAGGAAAATTTAGTGAGAATGAAAACGAAGAAACAGATGAGAGTGGGACAACAAAAAAAAAAAGAGTCGTGGTGGAAGGCAGAGAGCAAAAAAAGAAAAAGAAGATGAAAAGAATCTAATGAAAGGAATATAATATAGGGACAAAAAAGAAAGAAGGAAAAGAAAAAAAAGGAAGAAAAGAAAAAAATTACAAAAGGCTACAATAATGTAATAAAAAAGAGACAATGAAAAAACAATGAAACAGTGAAGGAAAAAAAAAGAAAAATTGAAAATAGATAAATAAAAGCGCTTATAAAAAAGACAGGAAAGAAAGAAAGAATAAAAAGAAGAGGATAAAGAAAACTGAATGCGAAGAGACATTTAAAGAAAGAAAACAAACGAATAAAATTAAAAAAAAGAATGAAAAGAGCCAAAATAATAATTTGATTGGACCATTAGTAAGATTCATAGTCAAACCTTGTAATTCTACTGCTGAAAGGTTCTCATGGGGGAGTGATTTAAGCGAGGTTAAACCTTATTATATTATCAATCATACATAAAGGCATAACACTGACGATACATTTTGTCAGGATATCTAGCAAGAAAGTAGAACGTAGGGAGATGTGAGCACATGCCTTTCTGAAGGGCATTTAAGCAGAGTGGACAGAATGAATGCCAATTGTAAGCCGGAGCAAGTTCGTAGATTCCGTATGATGTGTTGTTTAAATTTGAACTCGGCCACTTGAGAAAGAAAGAAAGAAAGAAAGAAAGAAAGAAAGAAAGAAAGAAAGAAAGAAAGAAAGAAAGAAAGAATATAATATAGGCGGAGGGATGATAAAACTAATTGAAATAAATATATAAATATAGAAAGAAAGAAAGAAAGAAAGAAAGAAAGAAAGAAAGAAAGAAAGAAAGAAAGAAAGAAAGAAAAAAGTAAGAAACAAAGAAACACCGAAAAGAAAGCAATATAAGCGGAGGGATGATAAAAAATTAAAAGAAAGAAAGATATTGTCGAAATAAAAGAAAAAAGATAAACCCCAAAAAGTGAAAGAAAGAAAGAAAGAAAGAAAGAAAGAAAGAAAGAAAGAAAGAAAGAAAGAAAAAAGTAAGAAACAAAGAAACACCGAAAAGAAAGCAATATAAGGGAGGGATGATAAAAAAATTAAAAGAAAGAAAGATATTGTCGAAATAAAAGAAAAAGATAAACCCAAAAAAAAAAAAAAAAAGTGAAAGAAAGAAAGAAAGAAAGAAAGAAAGAAAGAAAGAAAGAAAGAAAAAAAAGTAAGAAACAAAGAAACACGAAAAAGAAAGCAATATAAGCGGAGGGATGATAAAAAATTAAAAGAAAGAAAGATATTGTCGAAATAAAAGAAAAAAGATAAACCCCAAAAAGTGAAAGAAAGAAAGAAAGAAAGAAAGAAAGAAAGAAAGAAAGAAAGAAAGAAAAAAGTAAGAAACAAAGAAACACCGAAAAGAAAGCAATATAGGCGGAGGGATGATAAAAAATTAAAAGAAAGAAAGATATTGTCGAAATAAAAGAAAAAAGATAAACCCCAAAAAGTGAAAGAAAGAAAGAAAGAAAGAAAGAAAGAAAGAAAGAAAAAAAAAAAAACTAAGAATGAAAGAAAGGACTAAGAAAAACATAGGCGGAGGGACGATAAAATAAAGATATTGTAGAAATACTGAGAAAAAGATAAATCCCAAACTTGAAAAGAAAGAAAGAAAGAAAGAAAGAAAGAAAGAAAGAAAGAAAGAAATCAATATAGGAAGAGTGAATATGTGAATAAACGAGGTCATTGAACAAAGTAAAAAGATAAAACCAGCAAACTAAAGAAGGAAGGAATGAAAAAGAAAAAAATTTTAAAAAAGCAGTAACAAATAAAAACAAGAAAGTAAAAGAAATATTTACTGGTAAAATAAAATAAAATATGATAGAAAAATAAAAACGAGCGAAAAAGTCCGATAGATAAAATAAATGAATGAAATAAAGAACGACAAGATTAAAGATAACAATTCCGAAATGCGAAAAAGAAGAAAAAAAAAAAAAAATTCAAAAGAAGGAAAATCCACACGAGCATAATTAATGAAAAAGAGAATGTAAAGAAGAAAAAAACTCAGAACAACGATGCGAAAGAAGTTCAAAGCAAGAATTTAGAGATCGAATGTAAAAAAAAAAAAAAAGGTAAAGGAACGTTGACTACAAAAGGATAGAACAACAACAACAACAACAACAACAAAAAAGGCTTTTTTAAAAGCTGATTTTCTAACTGAAATTTCCTTTCGAAAAAAGAACTTAAAAATATACAGAGATCATGTGATCAAGACATGGGAACGCGAAGCAATCAATGCATATAAAATTAATAAATAATACACCACAAATAAAGCAACAATAATGAGACAAATTCGTATGAAACTAACAAAAAAGATTAAGGGAAATGCGTTCACTAATCGATATGCGAGTAAGTGTTAATAAACTCGCCAAGAAGACAGTAAATTTCTCGCCCGTTCTACATATTTTTTGGCGAGGGAAAAAGTTGAAATGGCGCCATTTCTACACATGAAGTTATCGTAGAGAGGGGGTGCATTAATGAAAGAATGAATCTCCTCATCCTTATCTATCTATCTATCTATCTATCTATCTATCTATCTATCTATCTAAATTACTGTTGGCATCTGTCTTACTATTCGCATCCATCTATCTATCTATCTATCTATCTATTCGCATCTATCTATCTATCTATCTATCTATCTATCTATCTATCTATCTACCTATCTATCTATCTAAATTACTGTTCGCATCTGTCTTACTATTCGCATCCATCTATCTATCTATCTATCTATCTATCTATCTATCTATCTATCTGTTTGTCTGTTTGTCTGTTTATCCCTTGTTTCCTGTTTACGATTCAGTTTTCGGCTCCTTCTAGTCTTTTTCATTCTCTTTCACCCCATTAGCTCATTGTGTCTTGTGTCGTTGTTGTTTACTTGAGGCGAATTGAATATATATATATATATATATATATATATATATATATATATATATATATATATATATATAGTAAATTTTGTGTATTTAGATAGCAAATTCTCTTTTAGGCATGTCTGATTATATAAATTACAGACGTTATGTCTGCTTATTTTTAGCATAATCATTTCATACTCACGAGTAACCTTCCGTGTATTACAATGATGCACTATAACTGTGAAAATCGCTTTTATTTCCCAAGTACTTTCTATCTTTTCCAGAGATCATCATCAGGAGTGCAAGTAGTAAGACAAAAATATGTTGCTATTGATTACTGATTTTTTTTTCTTTTTGCTTTTAAATGCAACGGTTGACAGTCATACTTAGTGTTCATTAGAACATGAAAATTTATCTAGTACGGAATTTTATTTTTTATGTTGAAATGTCATAGTCATGCGCGCGTTAAGCTGTGGAACACTGTTCCGTTTACACACACACACACAAACACACACACATACACACACACACACACACACACATATATATATATATTACTATTGTATTATTATAATATTTATTTATTATTATTATTATTATTATTATTGCTTTATTTCCTTTGAAATTCTGGTGTATACTCATTTCTTTCTGGGTCCCGACCAGAGGCCTAAGGTCAGAAATAGCATCATGACATTTTCCACTGAGTAATTTGGAAAAGAAATCGCACATATTTTAGATAGATAAAGCCCTTCGTAAGGTGCAGACTGTACTTTTGAGTACATTTTCTTTGTTTTTCTTCAAGGCATTGCCAACCAGGGATTCTTCCAGTGTCTATTGGAATCATTGCCAATCAATCTGAGGTCTCCAACTACAACTAGAATTGTTAATATATTCATGTGCCATAGTTTTGAGATTTCGATTTCAATGTCCTTGTAGTTGGATAGTTTTTTGAAGATTTTCAAATATATATTGCAGTCTACAGGGACTGCCATGCCAATAAGGAGGCACATTTTGTCTTTGCGGTCTCTAATCACGATGCCAGGGCGATTAGCTTTGATTGTTCCGTCTATGTGAATTGTGTAGTCCCATGAAATTGTTACAGGTCCAATCTCTGTAACCAGATCTCTGTGGTGTTGATAGCAATTTCTTTCAGTTTCCTTTACATAAGTGTTGCGGATTTTTTCAGTCAAAATATTGGCCCAATCTGTCATGCCGTGTTTTATATTCAGTGGGTGCCAATACCATGCAACCTGATAGATGATGGTTAGTAATTTTCTGGATATTTATCACAGAATCTGCATTTTTGACTAACACAATTTTCCAGTATGTGTGCTTGATAATTTCTATTTAGCAACATTGGTCCTATGCAACAAGAATAAAACATTCAGTTTCAGCTTTTAACTCTGCACTACGTAGCCACTAATGGGTACGGAGTTTTTCTACATCAGCTTGTTTCGTACGGGCAGAGTATTGACCGTGAAGCGGTTTATTTGCCATCGTTTCTATATCTAGTCGGTTGCATTTTCCTTTGCTCTTTTTAAAAATATTTTGCAGCTTCATTATGCTTTACTTGTATTTCTTCACCCACTTGAAACTTCATATTGAACTTGTTGGCTTCCTTTATTACTGAATAAAGTCGCTTGAAACTTTCATGTTCTTTGACACATACGTGACAGTTTTCTGTAGTTTCCAAGTATCTTTGAAGGTCAATTGTTGTAGTTTTTTAAGCCAGTTCTAGTTGAACTAATCCCCTGCCTCCTTCGGATCTGTGCACATACAGACGATCAACATCAGCTTTGGGATGATGCATGTGGTGACAGTTGACAAACTTTCTCGTTTTGGCCACAATTCACTTAATGTCAGCTATGGTCCAGTTAAGGACGTTGAAAGTGTATTGCACCAACAGCCAAGGTTTTTATGGCTAATATTCTGTTTTTTGAATTAAGCTCGGCATTCAGTACCAGACACACACGCCTGTAGTACTCCTTTCTAAACTTCTTCATTTGGGGATGCTGGATACCATCTCCTTCGCCAATTCCTAGGTACTAATAGGCTTCTTCTTGTTCCAGTTAGTTCCCTAGTTATTATTATTATTATTACTTAAACTTTTTGGTGGACGTTCCGTTTACTTATTAAACTACTATTTGAGTAGACGTTCCGTTTACTTATTAAACAGTAGATTTATTTATTTTAATCTATCAATCTGAATATTCGAGAAATCTTTTTAATGGAAAATAAGCATTGTCCAGCAGGATTAGAACCTCAAATATACTAAAATATGTGTATCGATTAAAAAATAACGTGTAAGTAATAAAATCTGTCTTAAATATATATATATATATATATATATATATATATATATATATATATATATATATATATATATATATATATATATATATATATATGTATGTATGTATATTTGGGCAGTAATCTTTCTTTTAAACATCTTTCTTTACATATGGCAGACAAGAAAATTTTAATTCATTTTTTATTTAATTTTTCCATCGTTCTTACGTTTTTCAGTTTGGTGGAAAACTAAATAAAAAATATTAAATTTACCTTATCTGCCATATTTAACGATATATATATATATATATATATATATATATATATATATATATATATATATATATATATATATAAAAGAAATGTTGGGCTTGATTTATCAGTCTGATAAATAAACAACGATTCTTGTACGACAACCGCTGTTAAACAAAAACCCTTTTGAATGGTATTAATCCACTTCTTCTCCACCCAGGGATATTGGTTAATGAGTATGAATTACAACAGTAAAACATTTTTATCCCCAAAGTATTATTACAATCTAAAATATTTTTTGACTTTAAATAACATGGAAATGTTGATGAGCAAAAAAATAAAAAAAAGAACAAATCTATTTTAATCTGTTCATATCTATCTTGGCCCATTTCTTTCTGTCTGTCTGTCTGTCTGTCTATCTATCTATCTATCTATCTATCTATCTATCACAGCATGTTTATTTTTACCGTAAAGACTGGTTAAGACTGTAACATGTTTTCGTCCGGGACCAAGGTTTCGATTCTAGTGGCTGTACGGAAGGATTTTTGAAATTCTTATTTTAAAAGTAGCCAGACTACCATGTTAATATGTTAATATGGTTCTGAATATGAATCTTCCTTTGCCCAGACGGATTTTGTTTTATCTGCATTACCGTTGGTGTATTTGTCACCTGACACTTTTCAGTGATTATGCTGGTATTTTTAGTTGGTGATCGAAACGCGGCAATGGTCAAGATTTCGAATGCTGATTTTGCCTGAAGGTCTGCAATTTAAACTCTTACTATTAGTCTAAGACAATTTCCGCCTTATAATGACAGTCTCAACATCCTTGATCTCATAAAATAATTCTGTCATGCGGAGTGAATAGATTATTCATCTGTATGAGGAAGAATTTGATAGAAAGAATGATTGCTTGATGGAAGGTATTGAAAACTGAATTTAAAACAATTGATTAATTGCATTAATCCAATCATTGATTTTAAGAGAAAGAAAATGAAAACTTCATTTTTTTCAAATATGTGATGCGGTTAATACAGGAATTAGCTTCAATTTTTTCAGCAAATTTAATTTCTTGGCCCAATCCATAGATGTACGCAATCACAACTTTTTAGTTGTGTGTGAAATTCTAAGAATGGATATTTTGATACGTTCTAAGACGGCAATTCTCAAACTAAATATTGTCAACAGTTCTTAGAAGGAATTTCTAATACAGAATAATGTAATTTTTAAGACAAAAATTTCTAAGTCAGAATATTATTATAACTTCCAAGATGGAAAGTCTAAGATGGAATATT